TTCTTCATCTACATATTCCCCTTCACCTTTGCCCTTATATATATAAGTAAAGTGTTTAAATTTACCTTGGTCTTCATTTTTGCCTTTATCTTTGCGCATCTTTGGTTTTGTTTTTATTTTTACCTTTGCCTTTATCCTTTTCTTTATCTATGTACGTACTCACCTTTACTTTCATTCTTGTATTGGTATTTTTCTAAGTTTTATTCTTTAACCTTTTATTAGCAATTTTGCTAAATTAATACCATATACTCAAGAAGCACTTGTTTCAGCCCCAATAATTTCCGTTGCATTATTTCCGTTGCACCATTTCCGTGTGCAATTTCCTTTGAATTTGCCAATTTACTCCCAACAAACCAACCGCCGCTAAAGAAGTTTCACATCAAAAAAAGAACGCAACGTTGGACCTGTCTGCACTTGGAATAGACAACTGACGCCAATTAGCAAAGGAGATAATCAATTGGCGAAGTTTTTGGTATCGGCCGAAACCAACAAACGATTGTAATGTCAAATAAGAAGAATAAAGCCACATTGATAAAGCCCAATCAGTTCGTTGCCGGTGGTCTTCATCCATTATTGTATGCTGGATAAGACCTTGTACACGACGTTTAAGAAGGTGCTGCTGTGGTCATTGGTACATAAGGTCGCCCTGTGGCACAGGTCGGCATGCTACATTCAACCGACCATATTCCGCATGCAGCTTTTTGCACCTTATTCAAATACTTCAATTCCATTATTTTCCTTGCTTATTAACCACAAAATTATACTCGTACCTTCCCATGCTCGGGCGGTAGAACACCAATTTCGTGTTGCTCGATTTTGGGCTTAATTTAGTATATGTAAGTATGTTATGGACATCGGACAGCCAGGCAGCTCGCGTCCTGAATTATGATTGTATAGAAATGCTAAAGAAAAATTAGCTTGGGCTATGTGAAAACAAAAGAAGTGGATTAGAAACTAGGAACTAACATTCTTAGAGCCTCCAAAAATAGACGGGTAGCAAATATCCTCATGCAAGATCTCTGGTTAAATCCTAATTAAAGTTATCTGATTTTTACAAATTTTAAGACCAAACCATCAATCTTGTCAGTAGATTTTCTTGGTAACGATTTTAGTTCGAATGGTAGCCTGGCACATACAAAACTAAATATAATACTACTTTAACGGTACCTAGACTCCATGATGTTTATGAAAGTTTAATTGCACTCACCTAGTAGCAATGGTAGCCGCTTGCAGTAACCCGAATGAGACGTCCCTTATGATTATTACACGCACAAATACCATGGTGCCATAGGTAAGCAATGGTTCTGGGCCCTTTACGAAGCGACCGTTCGGTAAAACTTGTGCATTTTTCATCAACATTTGCCTGCGAGGTATTCGTACATCTTTGAGGCCGAGAAATCCATTGTTTACACCATTCAAACTCATCTTCGGTCCAATTTCACCCACGTCTACACCTGGCTCTGGCAGGTGTGTTTCTGCATTGCGTATACGCACTAAAAACGGATGTAAACCATAATGTTTCCCCTTTATATACAACTGTGCCATAATGATCACCATATTGGCAGCGTGTCCCAAACCACCAGGCCACCATTTATAGGCAGTAAGAGTTGGCGTATTCAAGATGAACTCCTCACTCTGCACATTTTAGTCGGCGCGCGTCTCCAGGCCGCGTTTGAAAGTGCCATGTCCCAACTCCGTCTGCGCGTATGTGCCAATAATACCATCCATGCGCCAAGTACGTTCTAGCCACTCACGCTTCTGTTCTTCCGTGCTCTGCCCCAATAATGCTGGCAGAAACATTGAGAAATGCAAACGCAGCGGAAAGCTTTGTTGAAATAGCGCTGTGCCTAGTGGACCTGATAACAGCATACGGAAATCATACAATTCGGCAATTGCACTCTGCTTAGTATTTGTTGTGTCATTGGCCTCAGCTTTAGTTGCGTGCCAAGCGCGCAGTTGGGTCAGAAATTTGCAGGCTTTCGCAATTGTATACTCATACAGTTCTTTGTGCGACATCAGCGCTATGTGCTGGGGGTCTGCGAAACCATCGCTGTCTAAAAATAACTTCTCCAAAGCTCTACGCTCAAGCAATGCAACGCGACCGCCCGCCCACCACTCTGCAAAGTCTTCACTTGAAATTGTTGCCGTTTGACGCTCGCGGTTTAGATCTGCATTCGACATTGCTGTTGGATTTTATTCACTGGACGATCGAGTATATTTTTGATTTAAATATATGTATACAGTACCATTAAGAAAATTTGTCTATTCAAGTTATTAATTTACTTATCTTTTTCTTCAAGTTGCTTTTATTTAATGTTAGCAAATTTGTTTTCGCGTTTACCTAGTAGTCACACCCATTGTTGATGCTCAACTAACTGAAAACTGGATTTGCGTGGAGTTTTAGCTTCTGCTGTCAGAGTACTGTGCAGCCCGGTTATCAATGCACTTTTGCTGTTGATTGCAAACTGCAGCGAGAGCGTAAATATAATAAGACCACGCATATACATATGTATGTAGCAGGTTTGTTGCGAATATTCGCATTCGCATTCGCAACTGCGGAGCTTCCGCATTAATTTTAACATTCGCATTCGCATTCGCAATAATCAATGCGGAGCTTTTGCGAATGCGAATATTTTGCAAGTGGACCGATAAAACGTATATATGGCAAAGAAAAAATTACAAATTGTAGCCAATATTTTTGCCTGTGGTCCTAGGAGTATTTGTGTAACAAAACTGGTCAAATATACCAATATATATCAACCTCGATAAAAATGTCTTTAAAATATTATTTCTTAAGCTATATAACCGAGCTATCAATGGGCAGCCATAAAAGTTCCCACTTCTACTTGACCTTTGACGTACGTCAAAGAGAACATAGTCCTTTTAATAATATATCTTTTCTGTGCTTTAAATACCTGCTTTGGGTTCTTTCTTTATTATGATTTTTTTGGACCAATCTTAAAAAAAAAAACTACTAGACACAAAAGAAGAAAGTGTTTACTGTTCTTAACAAAATTTGTGATTTGCTTTTGATGTTATAGGCGGCATACACGCTGAGTCTGACTCGTGAGTCGGTTTGGATGTGTTTGTGAAAATAAATATGTGTTAGTTACACCAACATGACTCCCGGCATGACTCTGAATGATTCAACTGTGTGTAGTCGAAGGCGAGTCAACACGTACACAAATGATTCGCGAGTCAGACGTACCGCGTATGCCACCTATTACATTTATTCGTTTGAATAATTTCAAATGGGGCTCTTTGGGGAATTTATTTTTACCAAAAATTTTAAAAACAGTAGTTTTGTTTACTTGTTGGATAATCTTTTGTCATAGGGATATACATTGGATCCTTGGCTAAAAACTTCTGTGGTAAAACCGTCTCTTTTTCGCTATTTAAAGTCAAAGAGTAAAAGCATAAACAGACGACAGCGTTGATCTGGATCAACTCGGGAATTAACTGCTGTTGATCCGGATTAAATCCGAGTTAGTCTGGATCAACGCTGCCGTCTGTTTATGCTTTTGGCTCCTTCAATAGGGTTTTCCAGTAGAAATGATCAACGTCTAGCTATAAAGAGAATCGATGCTCAAATAATTAAAAAGCTATAGGTCTGACCTTTAATTAGATAAGAATTACGAAACTATCTGGGGTGCTTTCAAAAAAAAATAACAATATTCTGATCCGATTCGGCTGGCAGCCACGACTTTGAAAACAGAATTTTGTTCAAAAATAATAATCTATTTTCCATATCCATCTATTTAGCTCGCTATAAGCACAAATTTTACAAAGCAGTCGCAGAAGAAAGTATTAAAAATGAATTACAAAAACTAAAATCGAATAGTGCTCTAAAGTTGCAGGTTCTCCAAATTCTGAAACAACATGACATATGTATCTGGTTTGGCTTGTCAGCGCTGTGTAAACAACAATCTCGCCATCATGCTAGATTCTAATTGTTTTTTAAAAATACTTGACATCCGCATTCGCATCCGCGGATGTTAGCTGTTAGATATTCGCATCCGCATCCGCGGATGCGAATGCGGATGCGAATATCTAACAGCTAACAT